AATTTGACGTATTAGTTTATTAATATTTTATTAGATACAACAAAAATAATAATTGTTGTCATAATTTTATTTTTATTTATTTTTTTCATTATTTTTTATTCCCTATTTTATTCTTTCAATCAAATGATTTTCGCTGTTTTGTAYTCAATATTTTGTGTTCGAATTTTTACTTTCGCTATTTTGGAGGTGAATCSGGACGGACATGCCACTTCCATACAATAAATTATTTGAAACAAATTTACTAAACACAATATATCATCGTTATTCGTTCCATATAGATGTATACCTCCGCCGATTTTAATCAGTAAATTTTCGCGTGATTCGGTCTTTTTTTAATTCCTCCGCTGCCTCGTATTCAGATGTATAACGTAATATTATCTTATAATTTATAGTCACGAAACATGTTTCAGGTTATCTATAATAGCGTTTTGCATTATATCGGGTGAACATGAGATTTTTAACATTTTGGGGCTAGGTAAAGGTGCTTATACCGGAAAGTAAAATATGATAGTTGTTTTAGCGTATCTGAATGGTTTATGTAAGCACAACACAATTTAATATGTCGTAAAAAAAAAACAAAAGTGTTGCTTTAAAAAAAAAATAAAAACATTCAATAAAAATGATAAAACTTCACTTTTAAATTATTTATGTATCCATTACATATTTAATATTTGTACATAGAGTATTAACTGCATATTATATTTAGTAGGTATATATACATTTATTTATGATTGAGAAAATTGGAAAACAAAAATTTTAATAATAATTCTATACTTATAATATATTGTTTCGAGAATATAGGTAAGTGCCTAAACAATGGTGCACCAATAATTTTTCAATGGGGGGGGGACGAAATAAATTAGAATTCGATATCCATTATCTTATACTAGGTCGTTATTACCTTATCCCGTAATCGTAATAACCTCTACAAATAATTGATAATACGCAAAATAATTCTCAAAAACCGTTTTTTTTTAAATACCATGGGCTTTAATTTTGCTTTTTATCATATACAATTTATATCATGACATGAAAAATGAGAAGGGCTGGAGTCCCTT